AGAATGAGTAATTTCTGTGTTTAAAGTGTAGATTTGAAATCAATATCGATAGCATAGCACAGTGATTATCAAATCAAAAAGACAAAATTTGAGCTACTTTCTCTTCATTCTATGTGACAGTTTGCAATTTTTATTTGTCCTTATACAATATTTCAACTGCAGAGAAATCTGAAAATTACTAAAATTGATCCTGAGAAAATAAGGACATGGACAATATTGTAATTTCTGGAATCACTGTGAAATAGGATTTTTGTAAATCTTTGCCACATATATACTATGTATTAGTCTTTTTCTCTTTACATATCTGTGGCTTCAGTTAAAGAATTTTAAAAATTAAATGAAGAAAAAATTATCTTAAATCAATTTTGAGCAAAGATGAATTGGTGTGTCTGGATACATAGTCAACACTTAACACAAACTTGTAAAAAAGATTAATTTTGACAATATCATTAACAAATTTGGAAAAGGTTAAGGAGCTCAAACAGAAATTGTAATATTATTTATTACTGTGACATACCTATATATAGGTATAAATTCACCTCCCTTTCAAAAAAGGCATTAACGTAATTGATAAGATTTTAGCCATTGATTTAAGAGTGGTTTGTACAATATTTATTTTTACTTTACTATACATATTTATACACACATTTTAATTTCTTTTGACATTATTTTATATACAACTTTTTAAAAGAAGATTAGATTTAATTTAATTTATTTGAGAAAGAGAAAGAGCATGCACACAAACTGTAGGAGGGGTAGAAGCAGAGAATCCCAAGCAGACTCCATGCAAAGGTGGAGCCTCACACTGGGCTCTATTACATGACCATGAGATCATGATCTGAGTGGAAACTAAATCAGTCATCTAACAGACTGAGCCACTCAGGCACCTCTATTTTATATCCAACTATCAACAAAAAATATTCACTATGTACATTTGTTTTCTGACCTTTATTATCATTCATTCTATTTCATGATTATTGCTGAAAACTACTTTGTTCTGTAAAGGAGAGGAAAGTAAAAAACAAAAATAAAACAAAACAAAAATAACAGTCTGGGTCTTAAATATGTTAGGTACACTGCTGCTCAAGAACTCAAGAATTAGTGAGGAAAACACGAGGATCTAACAATAAGAAAATGACACATAAATTCATCTCTTTCTTAGGGAAATTGGGACATTTCAAATACATGTGTCATAAGAGAGTGGTGTATATACACTGAAACCATGAAGCTACTGGAGCAGAAGGGTAGCAAGAGCATAGATTCAGAAAAGAGAAAGTGGATTGGGAAAAAGAGTTGAAGGCACATTTTAACCTGAAAGATTTACTGATTATAAAGAGAGCTTTGTACCTCATTTATAATAAACATTGAAATTGGAAAGAGTAGTGTGAATAAAGCAAAGGAATTTTTATGGTCCACCCAAGCCAGAGGTACTTAAACAATTTAAGTAATTTTTTGTTTCCTTGTTCTCCAAATATAATGTGAAATTGAGTAGAATGGGATTGGGTCTCATGCTTCTTTGTATCTAGGCTTCTGAGAATATGGTAAATGTTTAATAGATGTTTAATTGCTTAATGGATAGAAAGGGAGGGAGTGGCAGAAGGATAGAAAGAGGGAGGAAAAGAGGGTGGGAAGAAGGAGACCCAAGTTAGCATTCAAATTAGAGATGAAATTTGAGGATTTTTTTTTTTTTTACATTGTGAACATTACGGGGAAGGTACTTTGAGATACTGTTATTTCCTAAAGACAATATTTTTTTTCTACAACAGTTTTAAGTGAATGCTAATTTGTTTTTAATAATCTTGTTTTCTGTTTAATTCATTTATTCATCTATTTATGTCTATTTTTATTCACTTATTTATATAAATTTTCCAAAAAGTCACACTAAACATATGTCTCAGGCTCTCCTGTGTTTCATTTTGCTGGTTTAACAGTCATTCTAGTAAACCTAACAAAATAGATATTTGTTTAGGAAAGATACTTTTTTTGAGCTTTAATTCTGGGATCAAACACTACTTTTGACAACAGCTAAGTATATGTAGAAATGAAAACATGACCAGGCTGATTCAGCTATTCTGAATGTGGTGCCTTATTGATGTAACATTTAATCTGACTCTTGATTCAACTAATTATAATTTTAGTTTATAAAATGTTTTTCATTTTTAAGAATTCTTTTCAGATTCTTCATTTTTCTTTTTTTCCTTTTTTTTTTAAAGATTTTTTATTTATTCATAGAGACAGAGAGAGAGGGGGGCAGAGACACAGGCAGAGGGAGAAGCTGACTCCACACAGGAAGCCGGACGTGGGACTCCATCCAGGGTCTCCAGGATTGCACCCGAGGCGGCAGGTGGCGCTAAACCGCTGCACCACCAGGGTTGCCCAGATTCTTCATTTTTCTTTCAAGAAAAACTTGCTGTATCAATGTAATTTTTCGTCAAATTTAATTTCACTGACAATATGAATTAGATATTTGTTGTTTTTTGTTTTTGCTGTTATTTGTTTGTTTGGGTTAGATTGATTTGCTTTCCACCTTTTTTTTACATTAATATTTAACAACAGGTATTTTTCTGAATGTATAGATTGCTCTCCCCACTGCCTCCTGTCCCTTGAAATACTGATTTTTTTTCTAGTTGTGTAATTACTCTTCAATTGTTTTAATCCCAGAAAAAAAAGAGAAGACTAAAATTTGTATTTATTGAACATCTCTTTGACAACATAGTGAGCCGATTCTTTTTGTACAATTGTGATTAAATAAAGGAAGAGATGCATAGAAAATAAAACTTGTTACACGTAATTTTCCCAGTGGGGGGCCTGGATTGACACTATAAAGCCAGCTTCTTCTTACTGCCTGGAAGGTGCTCACCTCATAACTGTTCTGTTAGTAGGCTGACCTTTCTTCCTTAAACCAGATATGTAATCTGTGAAAAATCCCTGGTTTTCCAAAAACTTCATTAGAGAACCAAGAGGCTGATGGACAGTTGAGATTACAATCCACGTGACTACTTTGCAATATGTTTATAAAAAGTTAGCAAAACTTTCGTGACAGGCCCAAGTAAGGGGGAGAAACTCATTTACTCTCCATTGAACTCTTTTATTTTGGTATGTGTTAGTAAGAACTGCAGAGCTCTTGGTCTATAACATCTCCATCCAAACTTCTGCACAAAGAGGTGACATCATCTACCATGGCTTCTAGCACTTTAGTGTCCCTAGAATGATATTGAACTCTGTGAAATGCCTGCCTGAGAAAGCTCAGTGCTGCCAAGAAAATTTACTGTTTATTCCAATCAAAACTTGGTGTTAGACAGGTCTCTAAATCCCCTCCAAGAGCAGTTACCTTAGAAAACTTGCAATTATAAGCCCTTTCTCTGACCTTTGAAAAGTAAATCTACCACCTGAAACTATCTCTTCAAGAACCTCAGAGCCATATCTCTGAAATGCAAGCATTCAGGAAGTTAAGAAAGATAACTCTCACTATCCCAGTCCCTGTGAGGGGATGAGGCTCTAACTTCAGTGACACTTGAAACAAGTGTCATCACCTTGTTCAATATGCACCTCTGCCACTGTCATAAAGATAGGAGAAGTTTATTTCTCTCCTAGATAAGTACAAACTAACAAATCTTCACATGGATTAACACCCCTTAATACCACTCAGTGTCTTTCCCTTACCATACCTTTAAAAGTTTTTAGTATTTTGTTTTGGGGAAGTGGTCTCTCTTTTCTATTATGGTAGTATTTCATGATGGTACATGTAACACTATCATGACATACTTTTCTACTGTAACAGTATCACTGGTTGAAATCTGTCCTTGTTGCTTTAATGAGTGTCTGGCTTCATTTCAGATACCTCCTTCATTCTGCTTGCTTTATAGTCTTGTAAGGGGGTTGGGTACCTTTCTAGTTTCCAGTAATGATGTTTTCCATATCAATTAATTTGGTTATTTTGAATAGTATTTCTGTCCCAGAATTCTCCATAAGCTGACACACTAGTTTCTTTTTGTCTTTGTGAGTTATCTTCCAAGATCCCCAGTGGATGCCTGTCCCACAGATAGTACTGAACCTTATATATACTGTTTTGTTTTCTTTTCTTTTTCTATACATATATACCTATGAAATAGGCCTTGTGACATAGGGTTAGGCTACTATTCGACTTTCTGACAATACATCAGGAGGATCATCAGCTTCCTGATGGCAGTTGCCTGGGGATAACTGAAATCATGGAAAGCAAAACCGCAGATAAAGGGGGTGTGTGTGTGTATTTGTTATATGAATGTATGAAAAGATCACGTATTTTGCAGCCAGAATATGCCTTGGTTTGATTCTTTGCTTCAATATTTTTATTAGTGTCTTAAAACTGGGTAAGGGACTAAAATTTCTACAGCTTATTTTCTTCATTTGAAAATAAGTAAATAATATATATATATATACCATTAGACTTGTTGGAAAATTGAGATTGAATGAAAAAAACATGTGCAATGTGTACTATCTGGCTCATAGTAATTGTTCAGTAAGTAATTACTACTTTGAATTATCAATCCCTGGCAAATGCTAAAGAGATTTGTTTCTCCTCTCTGTTGTTACAATGTCTCCTTATAGCATCCTTCAATGCCTATCTGTAGGTTTCCTCTCTTAGGCAATGAGATTCTTTATAAATATCTTATCCTTATGTCACCGGCTCCTGCCAGTTGAAAGGATGGGCTTTTGATAAATGTTTGGTGAATGAATGAGTACATGAATAAATTAATGCATGTGTGAATTCATGTTTCATTTTTCTTATGTTTGGTCTGAAACAAAGATTTATCTGTTGTGCTGTCTTACAATTTTCTTAAGAATCATCAGTCTTAGAAACAGGATCTAAAGATACAAATGGGAACTTACTACAGCATAGTTTTCATTTCCTGCCTTTGTCTATATCTGATTGGACTGCTTACTTAAGCTCAACCTGTTAAAACTCAGTAAATGACTACTCCACATGATTTGACTCATACATCCTCTTTTGTCCACAGGCAATTGTCTTAAAAAAAAAAAGAGAGGGAAGAGTTCTCAAATGCTGTGTCAATTCAGGAACTCAGTAGAACAATGGAATACCATTCTGGGGTAGAAAATTTGGATGAAGATGGTTATACTCAATTAGACTTCCACTCTCGAGGCATCACTGGGCGACCTGTGGTCTTAGAAAAAGGTATCTTTTCTTTCTGCCTTCAACATTCTTGTTCTCATTAACTAAAATACCGATCTGGAGAAAATTTGAGAGACTTATGACTTGTAGGCTGAAACCCTTTTAAAAGATTTTCAGAAGTCACTGAAGATATCTTGAAATATCTTTCCTCATGGCAAGCATTTGGTGACTAATTATTAGAATTTAAGTTAATTATTAAGATGGCAGAAAATACAATTTCTCTGTCCCGTAGGAATAGACACCTCAGCAGTAAGGAACTATAAATAAGTTTGATGAAATGCAAAGATGAAAGAATTTCAACAAGAATGACTTGTTACTTGTTTGTTAGAAAGGAGTAAATCATAGAAAGGAAGTCATGGAAACTTAAAGAAATATATATGAACAACATCAGGATATGTGAGATAAGAAAGAGAAGAATGAAAAGAAAGAAGATAGGTGAGGGAAAAAATTGTGATTTTGTAGTAAAGAGACTTCAGAAGTCATAGGGTTTGGAATCATGAATCTGATGTGTTCTTTGGCATAAGATGTTGATTTGGATTTTTTTTAATCAAATGGGAATCCTTTGTATACTAGTGAAGGAAAACATGTGCTAAATGACAAGATTCATTTGTAGAACATGACTCTTAAACATAATAGCAAAGGAGTAAAATAGGGATGCCTGGGTAGCTCGGCGGTTGAGAGTCTGTCTGCCTTCAGCTCAGGGTGTGATTCTGGGTCTGGGGATCAAGTCCCACATCGGGCTCTTTGTGAGGAACCTACTTCTCCCTCTGTCTATGTCTCTGCCTCTCTCTGTGTGTGTCTCTCATGAATAAATAAATAAAATCTTTGAAAAAAAAAGAGTAAAGTATGGAGAAAGGCATTACAAGATGTCTCTCTTCATTGAATGAGTCATGTAGTTTCCTCTATGGTTCTCCTATTTGACAATTCTCTGATATACTTGTACTGCTTATTCTCAAAGACAGAACTGTATCCTTGATACCACAGAATTAACATAAAGTGAGTTTCTGGTTATCAAGAGAAAGATTATTCACAAGATTTGACATGAGAATTTGCTTTCTTCTGCTTTATGGTAACCTGCATTGCACAATTATTTTCCCTTTACCACTTATGCAATTCTTTTCTTGCTCAACCAGCTGAGGAGGACTAGAAAAACTGGGTGATGCAAGAGGTAGGGAGGCAGATGTATGTTTCTGCATATTTGTTGACCAACAATGAGTTACGTATAATGTACTAGTAGTCTCCAGACTAGGTGCTTTATGTGTTAGCTCATTTAGTTCCTACAATGATCCTCTGAGGTATTATTACCCCAGTTTTTTTTACAAAAAGAAATAAACAGAGTAACTCACCCAAGGTTTATACAACAAATAAGTGAAAAGAGAAGGTTGTCCTTAGTGTCCAGTGCTATTTCTCCTAAATAAAGCTGCCTTTTATAAAAATGAGTGGGATTTCAGAAACTCTGGTAGTGTCAGGACCTCTAGACATCAATGTGAACCTGAAATTAGGAGCGTGCAGATATCAGGGCACTGTGCTGAAATTATAGTTCCAGAATCTGAAGAGATATACTAAACATGAGGGAAAATTCAGATAATCCTAGATGACTAGATTATCTGTATATCAGTGATTAGTATTTCACTTTAGAATTTTCTAGATTTTGATAAACTGGAGAACTGAAGTGCTTTGTGATTTATCATATTTCTTCATTTTAATTTATGTTCTCTCTTTCTTCCTAGTAACTTGTGCTACCTCTCCTCGTTGGCGTCCCATTGCTGTGACTTTGGGAATTCTATGCTTGCTAATGCTGGTGATAGCTGTGATACTGGGTACCACAGGTGAGTATTGGTACTCAACAACAACACCACTACCACCAACAGATATTTGTAAGTATTTATTATGTGCCAGGCACTCATTTAAGAGCTTGAACAGTCATAATCTGATTGAATCTATGTTAAGGTTGAATCAGTGTTATTAATTCTCATTTTATTTGTAAGAGAAGTAGAAGTGGGTGTGGTGTATTTTACTTTTACTTTTCTAGGGTCATAAACTAGTTAATGGTAAGACCATAACTAGAAATTTAGGCAATCTGACTAAAAAAATGCATGCTCCTCTTTTTTTTTTAAAGGAGAGAGAGAGAGAGAGAGAGAGAGAGAGAGAGAGAGAGCCAGCATTAAATGGGGGAGGGGTGTGAGATAGAGAGAATCAAACCTGCTCCACCCTCAGCACAGAGCCTGATAATCGGACTCAGTCTCAGGGCCCTGAGATCACGGTCTGAGCCAAAATCAAGAGTTGGATGCTTAACCAATTGAGCCACTCAAGAGCCCCTAAAAAAATGCACATTCTTAACTATATTTCTTTACTATCTTCCCTGAACAGTTGGTTTCAAAGTTGTGAAATTCCTAAATATACTAATGGAAGGAAACCATTGGAGGTAAAGAAGGAAGTACAATATAGTGGTTATCTTCCTAATTAAATAAATTCTTTAAAGAGACTATGAATTATTTTTATAAATCTTATAATTTAGAGAGTTTTATACTTGATCTTTAATCTAAACTCCTCTAAATAATATCAGGAATTACCTCAGGTACTTACTAAATAGACATTTTTTGATGGGTGAATGAATTCATTTAGATTTTTTTTTAGATTTTTATTTATTTATTTATGAAAGACACAGGGAGAGAGAGGCAGAGACATAGGCAGAGATAGAAGCAGCCTCCATGAAGGGAGCCCGTTGTAGGACTCGATCCTGGGACTCCAGGATCACACCCTGGGCTGAAGGCAGGTGCTCAACTGCTGAGCCACCCAGGCATCCCTCCTTTAGATTTTCTATATCAAACATTCTATTGTCAATAAAGTATTATTGTGCTTTTGGAGTCTTCACAAGGACCTCTCCCTCTCTCTCTCTCTCTTTCTTTTTGCTTTTTTTATATTTATTTATTTATTTATTTATTTATTTATTTATTTATTTATGACATTCTATTGTCAATAAAGTATTATTGTGCCTTTGGAGTCTTCTCAAGGACCTCTCCTTCTCTCTCTCTCTCTCTCTCTTTTTGCTTTTTTTAGATTTATTTATTTATTTATTCATGAGGGAGAAAGAGAGAGAGAGAGAGGCAGAGACACAGGCAGAGGCAGAGGGAGAAGCAGACTCCATGCAGGGAGCCTGATGTGGGACTTGATCCCGGGTCTCTAGGATCACGCCCTGGGCTGAAAGCAGACGCTTAACCAGTAAGCCACCCAGGTTTCCCAAGGAGCTCTCATTTTTAAATAACAGAAGAAAGATAAAATATTTATTACTTTTTCAAATCTATCTTGGCTCCAATTGATGCCTCTTACTTTCTCTTTCATACTCTTTCTTCTCTATCTGCTTTATTTTTCTCTTTTATACTCACCATCATGGAAGTAATTTTTTTCCATCTATCTATTATTTATTCTATCATCCATCCATCTATATATCATCTATTTTTACCTCTCAATCAGCACTGTTATCTATTTATCAATAATCAAAAGTATACCCCTCTGTATTCCAACAAATATGGATTTTGGAATTATAATTTCAAATATAGTAGAATGACTTTTTTTTTTGTCACTATAATTGTTGTTGATAAATGAAGCTTTTTGGAGATTCAATTCAGGCAGCAACCCATTGAAGAATGACAACTTTCCATCAAGAAATAAAGAGAACCACAGTCAACCCACACAGTCATCTTTAGAAGACCATGTGGCTCCTACCAAGGCTCTCACAACCACAGGCAAGGGCAGGCTTAAAAGCTGAATGTAATCCTTGATCTAGGATGGTCAATTACTGGGACAAAGGCCTGAGTTAGGGTGGGTATGGGTAGCGCTTTTACATGTAAGGATTGTGCATTCAAGGAAAGCACATATCAGTATTATGTGTATGCCCCTGTCATATATACAATAAAGTGATATAAATATCCCATGCATTGGGCAGCCATTTCTAAATTGAATTTTTTCTTCAAATCAGTAACTAATTTATCATTTTCCACCTATTTAGATCTATAGGAAATTGTATAATTTGATGCAAAGGAAATGTACTCTCTCCTTTGAGAACTGATATTTTAAAGTAACACAGATAGGATAGGAAATTAGATGTCAAAAAGGAAGAAAGGGAGAGAAAAGTAAAGAAGGGAAATGTGCTAAGAATTAAGAATTGTATGTTAATTAAACACATACAAAAGATATAGAGCTAATAGACACATTCCTGAAAACTCTGGTTATATTTGTTTTTCTTAAATTATATAATTTCACTAATGTATTTCAGTTTTATACACAGTTGACCTTTATTCCTAATTACATCATAACTATGGCAATATTTTAACTTCAGTTTTTCATCTCTGAACCCATACGTCCTTACTATTTGTATCAAGTAGCTAAAGATACAAAACAGAGATACTCTATCATGTGAATAACTGCTCTTATTTCTTTTTTGAAAAATTACATTCTTAAATGGATCTTGTACCTCTAAAATAAGTTAACATGAAATTACTGTTTATCTTGAAGATTGATTTTGAATTGATTTATTTTAAGAATTATCATGAAGAAAGGGAATTCTGGACTGAATGTGAAAGAATGGAAGACAGGCCAAGAAGGAAAGAGGGTTGATGGTCTTAAACAGTGTTTATATACTCTATTTTCATATTTTAAATGAATGAGGGCATTTCAATGTGATCTCTTCTGTAAAAATCATATCCCTATAATTTGAACTGAAAATGGAATGTATTACTGGCAATTCATTGATTACTAAGTATCCTCAGGATGAATGTGCTTGAACTGAAGGAGCAAATTGGTGTGATATGAACCTCATTGTTCACTTTTGATTTCCAGGAGCTTTTTCCAGCTCTTGTCCTCCTAATTGGATCACACATAAGAACAACTGTTACCTATTTAGCACATCATTAGCTTCCTGGAATAGAAGTAAAAGACAATGCTCTCAACTGCACTCTAATCTCCTGAAGATAGACACTGCAGAAGAACTGGTAAGTGTAGCCTTCAGTTATAATTACCTGTGATCTATGTTAAGCAGAAAAATAGAGGTAGAGGGAGAGATGGAATCTCAAGAAGACTCTGCACTGAGTGCAGAGCCTGATGCAAGGCTCGATCTCAAGACCCTGAGATCACAATCTGAGCCAAAACCAAGAGTCAGATGCTTGAGCAATTGTGCCACCCAGGGGCCCCCATATGTTTCACTTTAAAACAAATCTATTCAAACACACTCCAAATTTTCAGGACTATAACAATGAGGCCACTACTCATTTTTGTGGGTTTGAATTTCAATTCTTAAATTTGTAGAGGAAAATAGAAAATTCTCTTCCTTGTCATCATTATTATCAGGGAAAATAGCAACAATAATCATATACATTTATAAATCATTTACTCCTTCTAAGATACTGGGAAAGACAAAGAGGTTTAAAAAGGAACCTTGCTATTTCAATGCTTATATAGTTTGTAGGAAGAAACAACTCAACCGTTGCCTAAAGTTAAATATCTGGTATTGGTAATAATGACAAGAATTCAGAGAAAGATCCGTGGGTATATAAAGTTTTACATAAAAAGTGGGACTTATCACACATTGTAAATGAAGGGTATAACTCAGTTGGTCTATAAGAAGGGATTAATAGTCAGGAAATACTATAAATCTAAACAATCTGTAACTCCTATATTTACTTTCGCTTCCTCTCAAATTTTGTATTTCTATCATGTGTTACCCAACAGTTGTAGCTTGCAAGAAAATGAATGGAAGTAGATTATGACAAAGAAAGAGAATGACATCAGAAGTATGTCTGGCTTTTCAGTGTTCCTGTTATTTGTCAGCAATTTAAATGTCATCATTAAATCTCAAGCTACTTATTTATAAAACGTGCACTGGAACTAAGTTATTTTCATATTTTTATCTAACTGCAAAGCATTCCTTGACAAAAGTGTTATAAATTCATATATTCAATTTGAGAATATAGTGGCCTGTTGTCCATGAAAATTGCTTAGGGACTCTGTTACTCTTAGATCTTGTCAGGCAGGTTGCATGGAGGCATTAAAATTTTGACATTATGGATCTATTCTTCATTGGAAATTTAAACAATAGTGACTCTGAAGAAATAAAATATACTCTGACACACTCAATGGATTCAATAATTGGCACTTCTCCCTAGGTTGATGCCAGTGTATGTATGCATTCTTCACCAGGGTAATTCAACCTGTTGTTTCTTTCTCAATGTCTGTAAGAATTTTTATCTCTATCTTTTTATCTCTATCATCTCTGTCTGTCCCATTGTCTCTGTCACTCTTTGACATGTATTTGTATTTATGCTTTCCTACAGGAATTTATAGTAAGACAAGTGTCTTCTCAACCTGATAATTCATTCTGGATAGGACTTTCTCGCCATCAGACCGAAGGACCATTGCTGTGGGAGGATGGCTCAGTGTTCTCATCTAACTTGTAAGTATCTGGGAAAACAAAGCTTCATCCCCTTTCTCAGAAAGCTAAGAGAATGCCAAGAAGTTAAGAATCTTCTTTGTGGGCCATTTATGAGAAAGGAAGAAAGAAATGGTGACAGAGAAAAAGAGTGAATCGGGGCGGGGAAGAAAAGAAGGTAGAGGAGAACTTTATAGTCAAAACGAGTTGAGTGATGATCTAGTGCTGTCAGCACAAATGTTCTTCAGCTTTCTTACAAGGAGGGCATCTGGCACCTATTTGAAGTAGTCCAGTTAGGAGCCATCACTGTAAGTATAAAACGGTGATGAGGAGAATGACTTTGGAGTCAGTTCTCAGCTTGAGACAACGATTGGTCCACTCTGTGTGAAATCGGATAAGTTACATTGTCTATCTGAGCCCCTCTTCATTTGTAAGTGAGAATAAAAATAGTACTTATCTGTTAGGATTTTAAGATATAAAGGAGATAAAAGTCAAATCACTTAGCATAGTGTCCTTAGCATAAGCGATACATGCTATTATTAATTTTGGAAGCAACCACATTTCACATTTTATAAAGTTCTTTTAAACACATTTCTCATTTGCATAATTATAGATTCTCCCTTATTGTATGTGGATCAGTTAGGGTTAGAGAAGATATATATAGATCTCCTATTGGTTCTAAAGGACACTGATCCATACACAATGAGGAATAATTGACACATGGAGATTTATTATGAGGAATTGGCTAGCATGATTATGGAGGCTAAGGGGTCCCACAATCTACCATCTGCAAACTGGTGATCCAAGGAAAGCCTTCAAATATGAAGGGCTGGGAACCAGGAGAGCTAATGATGTAAAACCCAGAGTTCGGGTAGAAGATGAACTACACTGAGATGTCTCAGTTCACAAAGTGAGGCAGGAAAAGGCAAATTCTTCCTTCTGAGACCTTTTTGTTCTATTTAAGCCTTCACCCACGTTGGGGTGAGCAATCTACTTTCCTGTGTCCACTGACTCAAATGTTAGTTTCACCCAGAAACACCCTCCAGACATAATTAGAAATAAAGTTTAATCTGGGTATGGCTAGTCAAGCTAACACATAAAATTAACCGTCACAAAGTATTGAGGTTTTCCTCATTGTAGTTGTCATTTATTTTCTTCTTTTATCTGAAGAATATGAAATTAAATTCTTTTAAAAATTTTCTATTATGAATGTGTGTGTATCCGTGCAAGTGCCTCTTTTTTTGTTGGTTTGTTTTCCCATTACTCTCAGTAGGTGTGCTTTCCAATTCAATTTCTGGCTTTGTTGATTCTCTTTCCTCTGTGTCTTTTTTTCTTTAAAAAACTCTTTTATTTATTCCGGTTCTCATCTTTATTACTTCTTTCCATTCAATTTCTTTGTTTTGAATTTTCAGTTCTCTCTCTAATTTCTTGTATGGATGCTTGACTCTTGAAATCTCCCTTTCTTTTTCTCGAGTATGTTCATTTAAGACTAACTTTAATGTATTTTTATTGTCATTCTGTTCAAAATATTTTTAATTACCATTGGGAGCTGTTCTTTGACCTGAGTTATTTAGAAATGCATTTCTTAATTTATAAATATCTGTATGTTTATCCCTTTGCTTTAGGTTTCAGCTTAATTCCATTGTGGTTGGAGAATATACTTCCATGTGATTGCAATTCTTTGACATTTATCTGCTTCTTCTTCCCCTACTGAAAGAAGTATATGATTCTAGTTACAATTCTGTAACTAGGGGATCCCTGGGTGGCTCAGCAGTTTAGCGCCTGCCTTTGGTCCAGGGCGTGATCCTGGAGTCCCGGGATCAAGTCCCACATCAGGCTCCCTGCACGGAGTCTGCTTCTGCCTCTGCCTGTGTCTCTGCCTCTCTCTCTTTCTCTCTCTCTCTTTCTCTCTTTGTCTCTCATGAATAAATAAATAAAATCTTAAAAAAACAATTCTAACTGTTTTGATGTGCTGATGCCATATTAGGCACATATAGATTTAGAATTTATATACTCTACAGATGTATAGCCCATTCAAAGTACTTTTTCTTTTCTGTCTTTCCTCTTTTTGAACTGGTTAGTGATTTTATTACTCCATTTTTTCTTATATTAATTTAAAATTTATTCTTTTACTAATTTTTTTGTACTTGCTCTAAAGATTACAACACCTATTCTTCACTTATCAAAGTCCAATAGTAATTAATTTTTAATGTTCTTCCTGGGCAATATAAAGACATTAGAATATTCCTTTACTCTGTGCTCTCCCTCCTCGATTTATATGCTATTATTTTTGTGTACTTTAAGGTTCTCACATCTTTTCCCACATTTTAAATCTCTACAACTGGCACCTGTCTTACAACTACTGGCCTTTTATAATCACTGTAGGTCTGAACTGAAGTTGAGCTCTGTCAAGAAGGATGAATATTCATTTCTGCTGGTCAAAGTGAGGCACCGTAAATCTGAGATTACTTAAACACTCTGCTTAGTTTTTTGTTTTGTTATTTTTATTTTTAAAAGATTTTATTCATTCATTTGAGATAGAGAGCATACCATTGTGTGCGTGTGGGGGGGCGGAGAGGCAAAGGGAGAGGGAGAAGCAGACTCCCCACTGAGCAGGGAGCCCGATGCAGGTCATGATCCCAGGACCCTGAGATCACGACCTGAGCCCTGAAGGCAGCTGCTTAATCATCTGAGCCACCCACGTATCCCTGTTTTGTTTTTCTAAATACACTAGTATTATGGATTCAAATAGAAGAACTGTGTTAAGTACCACCTTGTGGTTCAACATCTCAGGGAATATAATTTTTTCCTACCATCTTCCACTTGGTGGCAAGATTGAGACATGCACTCCACTGTTAACTCTTCTGGTTGTAGTTTTAGTTTTCATTTACTCCTACGCCAGACTCCTTTGTTCTCCAGCTTCTGCAGGGTTTTCTACTACATTCCCATCTTGCGTGAATTTATTTCACAGTATTAGTTAAATTAAATGGTCTCTCAACAATTGATGGCATCTCACATTTAGTAAAGAAAAAAAATACAGGGATCCCCGGGTGGCTCAGTGATTTAGTGACTGCCTTCAGTCTAGGGCGTGATCCTGGAGTCCCGAGATGGAGTCCCGAGATGGAGTCCCACATCAGGCTCCCTGCATGGAGCCTGCTTCTCCCTCTGCCTGTGTCTCTGCCTCTCTCTCTGTCTGTGTCTCTCATGAATATAAATAAAATCTTTAAAACAGAAAAAGAAGAAAAATACAGCCCTAGAAAACAGTAGGTGTATAGATCTATACACAGTTCATCTAGATTTTTCCACATATTTATGGTTTGCATTGCTTCTTATTTATTTCTGCTTCTTCTACCTTCTGTTTCAACCATTTACTTAAAGCTGAAGAATACTCTCTACTATTCCCAGTAGGGTGGAAATTTTAGAGTTTAATTCTCTGTGTTTGTCTAAAACTGTTTTTATTCCAACTTTTCTAAAAAATATTTCCTTTTGGTATAAAACCAACTAGTATAAACCTAGAAATGTGTACTTTCTCTCAGCCATTCAAAGATATTGTTATAATGTTTTTCTATTTTTTATTATTGTTTTTGAATGGTCAGCTCTTTGAAGGTAATATATATTTTAAATCTATTATCTTTGTATATAGCTTTGGAAAATTCTCATCCAACTTGCTTCAAATGTTGCTTCCACCCTATCTTTCTTCCCTTCTTATGGGATTTCAGTTATATGCATTATGGACCCAGTCAAAACATTCTGTATGTCTTGTTTGCTTTATCCTTCATCCTTTTTTCTTTATAAATTTACTTCTAATATATCTTCCACTTCACTTTTTTTTTCTCATCTCTGGCTAATCTGGAGTTAAAAGCCTCCATTAAGTTTTTAATTTTCTTCAGTGAATTTTTCAGTTCTTTGTCAATTCCACTCAGTCACTATAATTCCTAGCTTTCTTCCAACATTCTCAAATTTATCTTTCAACTCATAGTGTACACTGAACATACTTGTTTTAACATTTGTGCTTGATAATTCCAATGTTTTATATTCATATATGTCTGTTTCTATTATGTTTTTCTCCTATTTTTCATTCATGTTTATTTTTCTTATTTGTCTGATTATTTTGTTATTAAGTTTTAAAATTTTAATTTCACTATAATGAACATATAGTATTATGTCAGTTCCAGGTGTGATAATATGATATTTATCAATTCAGTGCGTTACTCAGTGGTCTTCATGGTAAGTGTACTCTTTAATCCCCATCACCTATTTTACCCATTCTTCCACCCACCTCTTTTTGGTAAGCATTTGTTTGTTCTCTATAATTAAGAGTCTGTTTTTTGGTTTGTCTCTCTATTCCTTTGTTCATTTCTTTCTCTTAAATTTCACATATGAGTGAAATCATATGATATTTGTCTTTCTCTGACTGGCTTATTTCTCTTAGCATTATACCCTCTAGATCCATTCATGTTTTTGCAAATGGCAAGATTTCATTCTTCTTTGTGGCTAAATGATATTCCATTGTAACATATACCCTCTCTTCTTTATCCATTCATTTATCAATTGCCATGTAGGCTGCTTCTGTAATATGGCTACTATAAGTAAAACTGCAATAAGTAGGAATGCATGTGTCCCTTTGAATTAGTGCTTTCATATTCTTTGGGTAAATACCCAGTGTGCGATTACTGGATCCTAGGGAAGTTGTATTTTTAATTTTTTGAGGAACTTTTATATTATTTTCCACAGTGGCCACACCAGTTGCATTCCTACCAACAGTGCAAGAAGGTATCTTTTTCTCCACATCTTTATCATTTTTTTTAAGATTTTTTATTTATGGGGATCCCTGGGTGCCTCAGCGGTTTGGCGCCTGCCTTTGGCCCAGGGCGCGATCCTGGAGACCCGGGATCGAGTCCCACGTCGGGCTCCCGGTGCATGGAGCCTGTTTCTCCCTCCGCCTGTGTCTCTGCCTCTCTCTCTCTGTGACTATCATAAATAAAAAAAATAAATAAATAAAAGATTTTTTATTTATGATAGACACAGAGAGAGAGTGAGGCAGAGACACAGGTGGAGGGAGAAGCAGGCTCCATGCCGGGAGCCCGACGTGGGACTCGATCCCAGGACTCCAGGATCGCGTCCTGGGCCAAAGGCAGGCGCCAAACCGCTGAGGCACCCAGGGATCCCCTCCCCACATCTTTAATACTTGTTTCTTGAGTTTTTTTATTTTATCCATTCTGACAGGTGTGAGAGGATGTCTCTTGTGGTTTTGATTTGCATTTCCATGATGATTAGTGTTACTGAGCATTTTTTCATGTATCTGTTGGCCATCTGAATGTTGTCTTTGGAGAAATGTCTGTTCATGTCTTCTGCCTAACTTTTAATTGGACTCTTTGTTTTTTTATGCTTGATTATTTTTGATAGTGTGCTTAGCATTACATCTTAAATGTTCATAGAATTAATTTGAAATTTACAGAATGGCTTTTTATTTGCTTCTGGCAGGCATTGTTGGGTATGAACAATACAAACTGCTGAGTATGATCACATTTTGATTTTAACATCACTTAACTATTTCACTTCACCAGCCCAAGCACAGTGAATTTGTTAACAATCTTGACAAAATATATGTCCTACTTTTTTATAGCACTTGTTTGTCTTGAGCTTTCTTTTTTATTTTTTTATTGAAGTTTGATTTGCCAACAAATAGTATAACACTATATGTTATATGTCATCCCATCAAGTGCCCCCCTCAGTGTCCATTTACCCCATCCCTCTGCCCACCTCCCCTTTCACTACCCCTTGTTTATTTCCTAGAGTTAGAAGTCTCATGTTTTGTCACCCTCTCTAATTTTTCCCACTCATTTTCCCTCCTTTCCCTTATAATCCCTTTCCCTATTTCTTATATTCCCCATGTCTTGAGTTCTCTTTTGCTATTTAAACATATAACTCTTTCTAAAATCACAATGGTGGACCCAAATTGACATTTTGATATGTTACTATGCCTTGGTTTCCTGGGTGGCAGTAACTTAATGCAGGTCTATCCAACCCCCCCCCCAAAAAAAAAAAACAAACTCTTGAACATCAAGGAAAATTTTTGGAGAGCACCAGTCAGAATTCTCCCTGAGGCCTGAATCAAAATTGTTTCATGCTTTTCACCTAGTCATTTCTACAAAACTATTCTCTCAATCATCCAGCCTCAGGGCCAAGAGGAGATAGATACACAAGATGAAGAGTATCAGTCCATAGCTTTTACAATGAGCCTCGGTGATGCCTTTTAAAGTTGACTAATTAGGGATCCCTGGGTGGCGCAGCGGTTTGGCGCCTGCCTTTGGCCCAGGGCGCGATCCTGGATACCCGGGATCGAATCCCACGTCGGGCTCCCGGTGCATGGAGCCTGCTTCTCCCTCTGCCTCTCTCTCTCTCTCTGTGACTATCATAAATAAATAAAAATAATAAAAAAAGTTGACTAATTAATACTGCTCCTTCAGCAGACTAAAGAGCAAATAGAACAGACCCATACTCCCAACTTACCCATGATAGTGATCATAATTGTCTATCACTGTATTGTGATATAATTCTGCCTTTGGGATGCATTAAAATATATGATGTTGTTTTCCCTGCCTTTAAATGGTCTTGATATCCATGATTCTTATTTAGTTCTAATATCTCTCAGTAATAACTCTCTGCTTGATCTACTCACCAAAGGTAATTTCACTAGCCTGTTGTTTTATTTGATAACTATACTCCTAGGTTAGAAGTTGAAAGATAAGTAAAGAACGGTCTATGGAATACTAAATGATTTTTTTAATTTTTCAAGAGTTTAGTTTTATGTGACCAGTAGTATTTTTCTTAAAAAAAAACTTTGAGTCATGTTTATGCCCTAATAAGGAGGCTATTCTGTTATCACCTGAGAACTAATGCAATCTAAATTCAAGGTTCCTTTTCCATAACATAACCACTTCAGAAACTCTTTTCACCAATGTTCTTGCCAGTTTATTTCAGCATTGTGTAGATGGTAGACAGTATTTCTTAAATTTTTCTAATTACCTCATTGTATTTTAACAGATTTCAAATCAGAAGCACAGACACCCAAGAAAACTCATCTCACAATTGTGTGTGGATCCACCTGTCAATAATTTATGACCAACTTTGTAGTGTGCCCTCATATAGTATTTGTGAGAAGAAAATGTCATAGAATGATGAAGTGTCGGTGTGAAAGAGCAGAGAGAAGTACGTAAAACAGTAAGAAGGGCAGAAAACAAAACAGAAAAGAGAGATATTTAAGGTCAAGACAACTGCTGAAAATATCAAGAGACCTCATCCAATTTTAATCTTAAATGAGAAACAACAGTATGGAGAGGCTATGGTTCTGCACTTACCAACTGAATTAGCAGGCCAGTATTAGGTTCTGGTTAATAGAGCCCTAGGAATGGAGTCAGGTCAGCTGAACTTGAATCTTCATTCTACCACTAACTTAATATTAACGTGGAATTAGCCACAAATCCTTGGTGTTGCAAGAAGATCTTTATTTTTGGGTCTACTAGAGATTTTTTTTTGTCCTTAAAAAGTGCCCCTGAAGTACACAAGATGTGTTTCCATGATGTGTTCCTCCACTTCCAGCAGTGTATCAGACAAAAGTAGAAGGCAAAGTGTATTCCTAATAGCAAAATGAGGAAATGAAAAAAATCCTCACTACAATCAGAGATATTTTATTATTTTGTTCATCAATGTGGTTATAATAGAAAACATCATGAAAAAGCAACTCCATCTTTTTTATTCCCACCTAAGTGAAATAGCGCAGAAAGTACGTCTACCACATCTCTAATAGGATCTTGTATAATGTGAAATTGTATGGTAGCTGCTCTTATAATAAAATGTTCTCCTTTTAAAATACTGTCAATCAAAAGATTTGCTAATGAATATAGAAAAAAAAAGTAATCTGGGGGGCCTGGATGGCTCAGTCAGTTGAGCATCCAACTTTTGATTTCAGCTGGAGTGGTGATCTCAGGGTCCTGAGATTGAGCCTCCATGCTCAGTGCAGAGTTTGCTTGGGATTCTTTCTCTCTCTCTTTCTCTCTCCCTCTGCCCCTCCCCCTGCTCACATCTGCTCTCTCTAAATGAATAAATAAATTCTTAAAAAACCCATTCTTATCACTGAGGTATTAGCATTCTGGAAGGCAAACCATGACTTGCTATTGTTTATGATTATGGTTTTGCAGTTTTTAGCAATTTTTCAATAATTATTGTTAAAAGGTTATTGGAACATTGTTTCCTCATATGATGATTTGTATCTTTCTCAGTTCCTCTTAAATATCCCTCCCTTCTGCTATTTTTATTTCCAAACGGGACTTCCATATTACTGGAGAGGTAGTTACAGTCATCCCATGGTTATTAACATGTGGACAGAAATTGTGTCAAGTTTACTGGATTTTTCACTTTAAAATAGTTAACTATATGTTATCTGAATTTTATTGTAATAAAAAAATGCTGATCAAAGAAAGTTTGGCTTCTAAATGCTGTGTGTTGTAAACGTTATCACAATATGCCGTCTCCCCATCAGAAAATGATAGTAAGTAACCCCAGTGGCTCAGGGGTTTAGCGCTGCCTTCAGCCCAGGGCCTGATCCTGGAGACCAGGGACCGAGTCCCACGTCAGGCTCCCAGCATGGAACCTGCTTCTCTCTCTGCCTGTGTCTCTGCCTCTCTCTCTCTCTCTCTCTGTGTGTCTCTCATGAATAAATAAATAAAATCTTAAAAAAAAGAAAAGAAAATGATGGTAAATTTGGCACTTGGGAAGAGGTAGTATAGTAATAGTTCTCTGCTGAAGAATAAATTTGGGTTCTTAAGTATTTGAAAATCAAGAAGAATAGAAATTTTTGATGAAGTTTCCTAATACCTTTTATTTATTTTTTAAAAATATTTATATATTTATTCATGAGAGACAGAACCAGAGAGAGAGAGGCAGAGACATAGGCAGAGGGAGATGCAGGCTCCTCGGAGGGAGCCCAATATAGGACTTGATCCCAGACCCCAGGATCTTGCCCTGAGCCAAAGGCAGATGCTCAGCCGCTGAGCCACCCAGGCATCCTGCTAATGCCTTTTAATATACAAACTTGCATTGTCACTATATGAAAAGAAATGTGGAAAAGGCAAAGATAATTTAAGTTGAGAGTTAAGGCATAATGTGAGGTTTTGAAGAGATACCATATCGTATAATTTTGTTTTTGATTTAATCAGTTCCTCCTGAATCATGAGGATGGAGTGGATGATTTGAGAAATAATAATCAAAAGTAATTCTGGATGTGGAATGTCCATCTATACTTAAAGCAGACAACAATATGTATTGTTTAAATATTTATGGTTTAAAGATAAACGTGTGACTATAACAAAATGATGGTATAAAGTAAGATGCTCTAGGTTGTCCAAGCATACTATGCCTAACTTGTTAATACATGTTTATACCACACTTTACATGGGCATGTGTGTGGGAATGAACAGGAAACCTCCATTTTCCAAGAGACAGAAAAAGGAAAATAGCTACTACCTGCACTTCTGTCTAATGGGTAAATTTGAGATGAGTAATGATCATGCTAGAGGAAACACTTACCTACTGGAGGACTACCATTTTCTCTGGCCTGAGTCATTGTAGTAATTTTCAAGGTAATCTCTCAGTGTCCACATTTGTCCTTCTAAGCTCCTTTTTCAAACAGCAGAGTGATTCTTTTAAATTTAAAACAAATCATGTCAACCCTCTACTAAAAAATCCCCTTGACTTCCCATGTATCTCAGAGTAAAAAATAAATATAAATAAATCAAAATGAAAAAGAAAAGATCTTTTCAATTGTCTGTGGGCCACTTTACTTCTTTGACCTAATCTACTTTTCACCTCTTCACTATTTCTATTTAGGACACTGGTTTTTCTCTTGTTTCATAATAACTGTCATACTTCTACCTCAGGGCCTTTGAGCTTTCTGTTCTCTTTACCTGAATGATTCTTAGCCTAGATATTACAGGACCTACTATTGCACTTCCTTAAAGTCTTTGCACAAACATCACTTTCTAAATGAGGCTAACTCTGATATTTAAAATTATCAACCCTCCTTTTTCTATACTCTTTTTTTTTGTTTTAAAGACTGATTGATTTTTAAAAATTTTTATTTATTTATGATATATATATATATATATATATATATATATATATATATATATAGAGAGAGAGAGAGAGAGAGAGACAGAGACACAGGCAGAGGGAGAAGCAGGCTCCATGCACCAGGAGCCCGACGTGGGACTCGATCCCGGGTCTCCAGGATCGCGCCCCAGGCCAAAGGCAGGCGCTAAACTGCTGCGCCACCCAGGGATCCCATGATTGATTGATTTTTAAGGAGTGACAGGGTGGGAGGAGGAAGGGGCAGAGGGAGAGAGAATCTCAAGCAAACGTCCCTCTGAATGTGTAACCCCATGGGGGGCTTGATCTCATAACCCTGAGATCAGAACCCAAGCCTAAATCAAGAGTTGGTTGCCAAAATGACTGAGCCACCCAGTCTTCCTTTTTGTATATTCTTAAACTCCCTTACCTTTCACATAGTTTCATAAGCCTTGTCATAGTCTAATATACTCTATTATTTACTGTCTTTCTTTTGTATTATCTGCCTCCCTCTGTAGAACCTAGGCTCTAAAGGACAGAGTTTACACTGATGCATCCTAGAATCTGAGAATAGCACCTGAAATAAAGTCGGTATTCAAAAAATATTTTTGTCATTTTTGAAAAAATAAGTATTTAAGGACAAGTAGGAAAAATGTTAACATAGGTTGTTTGGCGAAAAGTATCAAAGATCTACTTCAATCAGTGAAATTTGGAAAATTGTTTTAATTGCTATTTCATGAGAATCAAAATTATTAGTACCTTCTAAATGTATTTTTTCAGGCTCCACTGTTGCAATTTCTAATATTTGATCTTCATACTCCTTTCTCCTATGTGTTTTACTTCTTTCTTCCTTCCAGTTTTTTTGCTGCCTTATCTCGTGTAACATTTTCTAATACATTAATCCAATGCAAATAACTAAGTACTTTTTGATTTACTACTTTTTACAAGGCATGATGCAAAAGAAAGGTCTCTTTAAGTTTGTTTTATGTAGAATAAGCTGATGAACAATACATAGTTTGAGACACTAATAAATCTACAATATGTGCTTCCTAATCCACCCCTCATAGGGCCTGCCTGCTCCCACCCAAGCATCTTCTCTATTCCTTTATATTTGGTATGCTTGATTTAGCAAGCTGATAACCGAAACATAGAAAAATATTGGTAGAATAATACAATTGTATTGATTCAAGAAGAATTTTTGGACTTTAACTAAAACAGTCTTTCCATTTCCTTCTCAGCTTAGAAATTTAGGTAAAATTATTACCTGGCTTTCTGGAGTAGTTAGCAATAATTTCACATGCAGTTAGCAATAATTCTAGAAGTCTGACTTCCAGTTAAATGTGTAATTGTTCATGATTATGGTCTACCAAATGTGCTATAAAATGTTAAATTGACTTCATATACTGTAAGAAGAAAGATAATTGAATTGACAACAGGAGAACACTTTAATAAAATCAGTGTAGTTAGCATACAGTGTTACATTACTTTCAGGATTACAATACAGTGATTCTACACTTCCATGTATTACTCAGGGCTTATCAAACAGTGTACTCTTTATCTCCTTCACCCATACCCCATCTTCCCTCCCACCCCCTCTGGTAATCATTTATCTGTTTTCTGTAGTTGAGAGTCTGTTTCTGGTTTGTCTCTTTTTTCCTCTGTTCATTTTTTCCCCGTTAAATTCCACATATGAATGAAATCTTATGGTATTTGTCTTTCTCTGACTGGCTTATTTCACTTAGCATTATACTCTCTAGCTCTATTCATGTCATTGTAAATGCAAGATTTCATTCTTTTTTAATTGCTGAATAATATTCATATATCTATCTATATCTAATCATCTAACTTCTTTATTGATTCATCTTTTGATGGGTACTTGGGTTGCTTTCATAATTTGCCTATTGTAAATAAAGCTACAATAAACATAAGGGTGCATGTCCCCTTGAATTAGTGTTTTTGTATTCTTTTTTTTTAAGATTATATTTATTTATTTATGAGAGACACAGAGAGAGAGGCAGAGACACAGGCAGAGGGAGAAGCAGGCTCCATGCAGGGAGCCTGACATGAGACTTGATCCGGGGTCGCCAGGATCAGGCCCTGGGCTGAAGGCGACACTAAACCGCTGAGCCACTTGGGCTGCCCATGTTTTTGTATTCTTTGGGTAAATACCTAGTAGTGTGATTACAGGATCCTAGGGCATTTTCATTTAGTTCCATTTTTAATTTTTTGAAGAAGCTTCATATTGTCTTCCATAGTGGCTGCAACAGTTGCATTCCCACTAACAGTGCAAGAAGGTTCCTTTTTCTCCACATCTTTGCCAACACTTGTTGTTTCTGGAGTTTTTGATTTTAGTTATTTTGATAGGTGTGAGGTGATGTCTCATTGCTGTTTTGATTTGCATTTCCCTGACGATGATTGTTATTGAGCATTTTTTCATGTATCTATTGGCCCTCTGAATGTTTTCTTTGGATAAATGACTGTTTATGTCTTCTGCCAAATTTTTAATTGGATTACTTATTTTGTTGTTGTTGTTTGTTGAAGTGTATAATTTCGATCTATATTTTGGATACAACTCTTTGTTGGATATGTCATTTGCAAATATCTTTTCCCATGTAGTAGGTTGTCTTTTAGTTTTGTTGATTGTTTCTTTTCTTTTCTGTGCAGAAGCTTTTTATTTTGATGTGGTCCCAGTAGTTTATTTTTACTTTTGTTTCTTTTCCCTAAAGAGACGTATTTAGAAAGATGTTGTTACGGCCAGTGTCAGAGAAATTACTGCCTATAATATTTTCTAGACTTTTTGTGGTTTCAGGTTTCACATTTAGGTCCTTTATCCATTTGGAGTTTATTTTTGCGTATGGTGTAAGAAAGTGGTCCAGTTTCATTCTTTTGCATGTAGCTGTCTAGTTTTCCCAGCACCGTTTATTGAAGAGACTGTCATTTTCCCATTGTGTATACTTGCTTCCTTTGTCAAAGATTAATTGATCATATCATTGTGGGTTCATTGGGGTTTTCTATTCTAATCTATTGATCAATGTGTATTTTTGTGCCAGTATCATACTGTTTTGATCACAGCTTTATAATGCAACTTTAAGTCTGGGATTGTGATGCCTCCAGTGTTGCTGTTCTTTTTCAATATTGCATTGGCTATTCAGGGTCTTTTGTGGTTCCACACAAATTTTAAGATGGTTTTTTCTAGTTCTATGAAAAATGATTTTGGGATTTTGATAGGAATTGTATTAAAGCTATAGATTGCTTTGAATAGTATAGAGATTTTAACAATATTCGTTCTTCTAATCCATGAACATGGAGTGTCTTTCCATTTGTTTTTGTTTATAGTTTTCAGAGTACAT